ATTGCCCCGTGGATACTTCACATGCAGCTGAAAAAGGGGGTAACCCAGAGGCTGAAATTGTGGATGAAGAAGACAAGCTAGAAGAGGATGTGGTGCTCCCAGCAGGGTCACCTGGTGGTTCAGGCAGCCAGGAACTTTTCTCCACTCCAGAAGTGCTCAACAGGGAGCAGGAAGCAGATGAGACTCCAGGTAAGTTGCTGTGGCTTGTGTAGAGAATAGAAAAGTGGAAGGCAGGTAGTGTTTTCTTTGAGCTGGACATTGCCCTGTGTAGCTAATCTGCAAGGCCAAGCAGGGTGTTGATGGACATCAAGACCTGCAGGGAATCCTCCAGAGAGAGGCTTTGGAAAGTTTCAAAGAGTTACTTGTTAATCCTCTGCCACAGATTCCAAGGGATTGCAGCCTTGTTAGTTCCCCCATTGTAGGAAACTGTACTGTGCCATTTAGCAATCACTGGAGCTGGGACCAAAGCGGCACATAGCTGAGCCGCATATAGCCCGGGGTGAAAGCTGCAAGCCTTTCAGCAGCTGAGCCCTGGGTTCTCTGGTCACCTGCAGCAGCGAGATGTCAGCCAGCAAGTTGGCCACCTATGAAAAAGTGTGGGATAATTTTAGAATGAATTCCCTGCAAAGCTGCCCTGCAAGCCATGACCTTTTTGTCCATATTGACAACCGCCTTCCCCCCACTCCCGAAACTCACCATTATTGGGGTGTTCGCGGAGCTGTGTGCCTCCTTAGAATCTCAGAGAGAAAGTGATTTCTGCTAGCAAAATGCCCTTTTTATTAAAATGTTTCAATCGTTTGCTGGAATGTAACAATCCCTCTTCTGTTCAGCACAGACCGTGAAGAACACATCACACACCCCCGCGGACTGGCTGCGGCAGATAAGAAAAAAACCTGGGCACAGCAAAGAAGACATGTTCCGCGAGGTGCTGCAGCGCGATGAGAGACAGACCAGGAGGCAGAGAGTGCTGGGAAGCCGAAAGGCAGGACAGAAAAGAGAATGCTGCTTTTGCTAGGCAAGTGACAGAGCGGATGATAAAAGTTATGGAGGATCAGACAGAGATGCTCAAGTCTCTGATACAGCTGCAGACTGAGCAGACCCGATTTTGAGCACCACTGCAGCAGATGCACAATTCTTTGCCAACCCCACCCCCTTCTATGCCCACACATTCCTTTTCACTTCACAGCACTCCTGAGTTTCCCTATCACTCCACCCCCTCTCACAGCTTGCACAGTGATAGCTGGAGCTACACACCATTGTGAGGTTTTAACCTTTTTAACAATAAATAAAGCCTCAGGTGTTTAATGGTACAGCATTTTTATTCTGTGTTCTACAAAAGTGTATAGCAATCAATTCACTCTCGGGAACAGGCTTCTAAAGCATTGTGTTGCACGGATCTTGGGCCCCAAAATTGTACATGGATGTACCAGGGAAGCAACTCCAAAGCAGACGTGTTACTGCCCCTCATTGTGAAAGTGGGTCCTCAAAGCCTCTCTGATGTTAATAGCAGCCCTTTGGGCTCCTCTGACAGCTCTAGCATCTGGCTGTTCAAACTGTGCAGCCAAGCGCTCTGCCTCAGTGCTCCACACCTGAGCAAACATTTCACCCTTAGATTCACACAGATTATGCAAAGTGCAGCACATGGCTATGACCATGGGAATATTATCATTGGTAAGGTCTAGCCTGCCATTTAAACACCTCCAGTGAGCTTTCAAACAGCCAAAGGCCCATTCAACTACCACACAGCACCTGCTCAGCCTGTTGTTAAAACGCTCCATGCTGCTGTCCAGATGCCCTGTGTAAGGTTTCATGAGCCAGGACTGTAAGGGGTAAGCCGGGTCTCCCAGGATTATTATGGGCATTTCCACATCCCCCACTGTGAACTTGTGACCTGGAAAGAAATTCCCTGCCTGCAGCTTTCTGTACAGGCCACCGTTCCTGAAGATGTGTGCATCATGCACCTTTCCAGATCAGCCTGCACTGATGCCCGTGAAACACCCCTGGTGATCCACAAGTGCCTGCAACACCATGGAGAAGTATCCCTTCCTCTTGATGTATTCAGAGGCAAGGTGGTCTGGAGCTAAAATTGGAATGTGTGTGCCATCAATCGCCCCACCACAGTTAGGGAAACCCATCTCTGCAAAGCATCCACTATTTCATGCACATTTCCCAGAGTCACGATCCTATGTAGCAGGATGCGATTTATTGCCCTGCACACTTGGAGTAATACAGCCCCAACAGTGGACATTCCTACTCCAAATTGATTTGCAACTGACCAGTAGCAGTCTGGATTCGCCAGTGATTGCAACATGCTTCTCTACCGAAAGGGCAGCTCTCAATCTGGTGTCCTGGCGCCGCAGGTCAGGGCCAGCTCAGCACATAGCTCCATGAAGGTTGTTTTACGCATCCTAAAGTTCTGGACCCATGGGTCGTCATCCCACACCTGCATGACAATGCAATCCCACCAATTGGTGCTTGTTTCCCTAGCCCAAAAGCGACGGTCTACCATATGCAGCTGCTCTGTGAATGCACAAAGCACTGATAAGTTGCTGCCGTCCTTATCACACTCGGGTGCCTGTGATTCATCCTCTGCTAACTTTGCGAGTAACTCTGAGAGTAACTGTGCTGCCATGAGCGATGTCCTCATGACAGCTAACTGAGCATAGAAGGCAAATGCGGGATCCATTCTCTCTCACTGCAGATGCTGGCACGCACTACAAAAGAATGACAGTTGGAAAACAGCGCAAAAGGAAGCCAGAGACCTTTGGAGGGGTGGGACACAAAGTGGTGCATGATGATACATTTTGCACATCCCAGAATGTGCCGCGCTCCGTTTCTGCATTCCCACAACACCTAGCAATGGATGGTGTCGCCAGGCTGTTGACAAAGGTGCCCCGAATGCGGACACAATCTATCGACACAGGGAGCAAATGCAGACCTGCTTTGGTGACTTTGTTTTTGTCAATTTTTCCTTGGTGACATTAGTTTCATCGAAAAAACTTGCCAGTGTAGACAAGCCCTTGATATCTGGATTCAAGTCCTTACTCTGCCATAGATTTCCTCTGTGGCCTTGTGTAAGTCACTTAGTTCCAGATCCTCATAGGTATTTAGGCATCTAACTCCCATTGGCTTAATTAATTTAATTTCAGTGGGAGTTAGGCACCTAAACATTTTGGAGGCTCTAGGCCCGTGGTGGGCAACCTGCAGTCCATGGGCTGCAGGTGGCATATCAGGGTAATCCTCTGGTGGGTTGCCAGACAGTTTGTTTACATTTGCATGGCCGCGCACAGCTCCCAGTAGCTGCGGTTCACCGTTCCCAGCCAATGGGAGCTGCGGGAAGCAGCACTATGTTACCATTAAATAACATAGTGATACCATGTTGTACATACGCGACAATAACTATGATTTATGACACAATGAAGATTAATGAAGGGATTCCTTTCAAATTATAGCTGGTCAAACACGGGGAAAATGTGCAAAATGTTGTCTAACTGCCCCCCTTTTTTGGAATGTGAAATTTTGGTGAACATTTTAATCAATTTAAAAATTTTAAAAAATTCCCACCAACTCTTTTAAAATGTTTATATTTCTGATGGATACCATTCTAGCATGAACTCCATTTAATAAAGCTTTAAACTCATAAAGCCAGTTATATAAAGTACTCTTTGTCTATTTAACATTAATTGGATGCTATAGTTCTTACTGTGCCTTCCTTTTTGTAGGACCTGACCGCCCATTCACCGCTATAGATTTCTCCCACCAAGGACCTGCCTTTGTTACTTGGCATAGGTACCATTTGCTGCTGCTGGAAAGAGATCTCCAGGTTAGCAACATGTTCTATCTTGGCACATTCAAAGATGCTCACATGACTCTTACTATTGTGATTTTCCCATATTACTTTGAATCTCTATTATGCCAACACAGAGTTCCCTGGCATAACTGAATATCTGGGCTACATTCCTTAGACAATGACATTTCAGGAATGGTCATTCACTAACCCTGTTTTAAAAGTGAATTTAGCGCTCAGGAGGTCCTGATTGGTTTGAAGACTACAGTCTTCTATCCCCTGTCCCTCACCCCCTTTAAAAAAAAACAGGTATTACAAAAGCAGGTGCAATATAATATTTTTACATAGCCAGCATGCCTCAGAGTTCATCAGAAGGTGGTTCAGCCTCTACATTTATTCAGGGTATTTCTGTCGTCATGCTGGGCCGCTCTGTGCCCTTGGTCTCTTTGCTGACTCCCAAGAATGTCAGAATCACCACTTTTTGGGCTATCAGCACTTTCAGTAGGAATCAGAACTAGGAACCACTTAACATACGAGGCCATCAGATGGTACAGTGTATAGTTAAGGTACCGATTTGAATCAGTGACCTTAGGAAGTTGAAACAGTATTCTGAGAAAACTGCAGCGTGGTTTCAAATATTAAAATATAGATGAGCCAGGTATCAGTAACCTCTCTCTCTTTCTCTTTTTAAAGAATGATTTCTTGCTAATAAGTTTCTTTTCATTATAGAGACTGATTGGCAATGAATCCTTTGCATTGCCCTATTGGAATTTTGCCACAGGTAGAAATGAGTGCGATGTGTGCACAGATCAGCTTTTTGGAGCATCAAGACCAGAAGATCCAAGCCTAATAAGTCAGAATTCAAGGTTCTCACGCTGGGCAATAGTGTGCAATAGGTAATAGAATGTGTAGGGGAAACCAGCATTCTAACTAACACTTGTTTTCATTAGCCACTAACAGCATGAACTGCTCTTTCAATTTGCATGAACTGCAAGAAAAAGAACCTAGATTTCCTTGTAAAAATTGTGAAACTTAGTGGATGGGCTAAAGGTGGGGGGTCAATCAAGATTTCCTCAGATATAGTCTGCATTTTTATACTGTTTATTTTTTTTTAATTTGATACAGGACTTTACTTAAAGACAGTAATTTTAAGACTGACTGAGTATTAGAAGTGTTTGCCATACTAGAGACTCATTATTTAGAGGAGCAATACTAGTATGTTAGCTCACTTTGCCAACCAAAAGCTCTTGAAAATTCTATCAATAGGAATTTTCCTGTGTGTTTAATAGTGAGCTCATATTAGATTGAAAAATCTGTGCCTCTTCAGTTGGACTGGAAAATACCAGACATGAGATTCTAGCCCTATTGCAATCAGTGGGAATTTTTGCATTAACTTTAATGAGGCCAGGATGTCACCTCAGATTTAGAAATAGTTTTTAAAAAATGAGATTGAACTGGTTTCTTGCAAAATAAGGCTCTGATCTTGCAATTGACTATAATTAGGCATTTCCCATTTGGAGTCAATGGTGCTTTGTGTGAGTGCAGGGATTCGACTGTGGATTCACATGCAGGATTGGGACTTTAAGATGGACAAGTGGACATTCAGTAACACAGGAAAATATAATACTCCTGTAGCACTTTTCATCCAAGCTTGGAGTCGGCATGAAGGCCTTGGGAGCTGCTCAAAACAGGGGCGACAGATTCTTCCTAAAAGTGGGGTTGCCATGAGGCCCCACTCTGTCTGTGGCCCTACCCCATCCCCCGTCTCTGCTCCATGAAGCCCTGCCCCTGACCAAGTTGGAAGCCGGAGCTGGACTGGGGAGCCCGGGCCCCTCCACCTGCCCAGAGTTGCCCACATGGCTCTTACCTGACTCTGGCTTCTGGCCTGGCCAGGAGGCGGGGCCTTGGAGGCTGAAGAGTTGCCTGGACAGCTATGAGGAGCTGTGTACCCTCCATCTGCCCTAGGCAGGAGGCCGGGGGGTGGGGTGGGGGGAGACATGGGCCGGGGACTGATCTCAGGCCCCCCACCCCAGGCAGGTGGACAATCCACAGCTCCCCACAGCTGCTTGGGCTCCCTGGACCACTCTTATCCAGGCCGGGCTTCAGCTTCCGGCCTGGCCGGGAGCGGAGCTTTGCGGGGAAGAGGAGGGGCAGGGGGCCAGGCCCATGGCAAAAAGTGGAAGGGCTAGAAATCAGGCCACTTATATGAGTACCTAAATATCTACTCCAAAGCCTAACTTTAGGCACTGATTTTTTGAAAATCTTGGCCTTTTCATATAGCTGCTGCCCTCATCTTGTCAGTAACATGAAGAATGGGATGGGATTTTTCCCGAATACTGAAATTTCTAAACTCTTCCTTCACCAGTGTTACAGGAGAGCAATTTTTACTTTTTTATTTCAGTAGACTGTGTATATGCATTTTAATTTAAAATTAAATAGAATCGTCTGGATTCTTTGCAACTGTCATATGAGACTTGTGCTTCACTTCACATCTCCCATGGGGCACGGATCACTTGCAGGTTTAAACTAGTGTAAATGGTGAATTCTCTGTAACTTGAAGTCTTTAAATCAGGATTTTAGGACTGTAGTAACTCAACCAGAGGTTAGGGGTCTATTGCAGGTTCTGTGGCCTGCAATGTGGAGGAGGTCAGACTAGATGATCACAATGGTTCCTTCTGATCCGTAAGTCTATGAGTCTCTTCACCACTTCTATCCCTGGCGTTACAGGACTCCTCACACTAATTGATATACAAACAACACCTGATGCTAGCGGATAACAGCATGCCTGCTAAAATAGGATGCAATGCGGTTCATATTCCATCTCTCTCCAAGTAAAAAGGGTGAAGTCTGGAAAACTGAATAACTGTTTACCCATCAGCTAGTTCCTGCATTTCCACAGCCCACCACCATCCTTACTGCATTGCTCTGGGCCAAGGGCGCAAAGTGAGACCTTATCTATTTTAAGGAAATTTTCGCCAATGTAAAGATGTAGTTACATTGGTGCAACCCCTGATGTTTATGTGCTGCACCCGTGCAAAGCAGGGCTTATATCAGTGCATTACCAGCATCAGCATAACCCTTGCTTTGCACAGTGCAGTGCTTCTGCATTAGGGGTTTACACTAGTGTAACTACGGTCTATATCAGGGGTCGGCGACGTTTGGCATGCAGCTCGCCAGAGTAAGCACCCTGGCGGGCCGGGCCACTTTATTTACCGGCTGACGCGGCAGGTTCGACCGATCGCGGCCTCCACTGGCCGCGGTTCGCCATCCCGGGCCAATGGGGGCGGTGACAAGCCGCAGCCAGCACATCCCTCACCCGCGCCGCTTCTCGCCGCCCTCATTGGCCCGGGACGGCAAACCGCGGTGAGTGGGGGCCGCGATCGGCGGAACCTGCTGCGTCAGCAGGTAAATAAACTGGCCCGTCCCGTCAGGGTGCTTTCCCTGGTGAGCCACGTGCCAAACGTTGCCGACCCCTGGTCTATATAGTCAGGCTGCTGTGATATTTCAGCCCAAATGATTATGGTAAATTTGCAGATGTATCTAAGCCACTGAAAATCAAGCCATAATGGAAGCCCTGCTGTAACTGCCGTATAGCAGGTGGAAGACAGAGCCTCCTCAGGGCAAGTCTGTGAAGTCTGCAAGAGGGAAGAGCTTTGTAAGCTCATCTACTGGAACTTAAAAACTCTGGATTTTCCTTTTAACTTCTTGGGAAGAAAACAAGGAAATCAAAATACAAAAACGTATGTACACTTAATGGAAAAGCTATACATTAAAACCTCAAATGACACGAAATGAGAAAGCTAAGGTTGAACATGTGACCATAAGACGGCCCTGTGAATAATATGGTCTTTAATTACATGATCACACATGTGTCAAAGAATACAATATCATAGATTATCCTCTAAATCTTTACCACATCCATGTGGCAGCTGGTAATATAGTTTTCATTTTTGATGTACATAAACAATTGTCATATATTAGCAAAAGACCCAATCCTGCATCTGACTTCATGTGGACAGACACCTGCCTCTGCCTGGAGTCCACTGCAGTTTTAGATTAAGTGTTTGGGGCTTTGTGAAGGTGCAGGTATCCACACACGTGGAATCCCGTTGCCTTTGAAATGAATGGAAGTTTTGCCATTGACTTCAATGGGAGCAGAATAGTCTCATATCTAATGGCCTGTTGATGGGGCCACCAGTTGGGGTACAGTGTGGGAGAAACAAGCACAAATACTGTCCCAAGCTTGAGCTGAACAGTGAACAAAGAAAGAAGTGGTGCATAATTAAAGACTCTGGCTTGTACTACAATAAGTCTCTCCATCCCTGCCAAATAGCAGGTGAGGAAGTGTAGAAGGGGCTGCTATGACATGGGCCAGGAGTAATTGTTTTTGGTTGGGCAGCTATGCTACATGTCAGCTAAGGAAGCATACTTGACAGTAAATTAGTGGAACCATTGACATTTAATTAGCCACATTATCCTGTTGAAAGATGTGGCACCCACTTGCTAACATCCATATCAATCTCCTTCATGAGATTTTTAAAGGCGGAAATGTGAAAGTTGGAGCCAGTTCAAAGATGATTAATTTACAAGCAGATTTACGATTCCAGCTCAGATTAGCAGTATGACCATTTTCTTTTCTGGTACAAAACTTCTCAAACCATCTGAGGTTCTGATCCTGCAAACACTTGCATGTGTGTTTAACATCAGGGACATGAGCCATCCCAGTGGTTGTGGTGGGGGACTGAGTGTATAGTGTCTATTGACTCTGTCAGAGTGAACCCCCTCACCCTCTAACATCCTATTCTAATTGTTCCACTCAACTTTGATTTTAATCTAAGCTTGGATGATTACAACCGTCTGGTTACACTGTGTAATGGGACTAATGAAGGGATTCTACGGAGGAACCCACAAGGGAAGTCTGGCGAGCAGCTGCCAACCATGGAAGATATCCAGAACTGCCTTTCACTTCAAGAGTTTGATAATCCTCCTTTTTTCCGGAATTCTAATTTCAGCTTCAGGTTTGTGCCCCAACTCCTATAACTTGTGCAGCCCAAAGATAGCCTTTTATACATACATTTGGAGGTAGTGCTGGTCAATAGATGGTTACTTAACTCTTGTCTTATCGCACACACAGGAATTCCCTGGAAGGGTTTGGTAAACCAGATGGAACTTTTGTCTCCCCAGTGGTGAGCCTGCATAACTTGGTTCACTCTTTCCTGAATGGAACCAGCGCTTCCCCTCATGCTGCAGCCAATGATCCAATTTTTGTGGTATGTCATTTTCCTAATGTTATTGCAACTGAATAAGCCTCTGTTGTGTTAATTTAGATGGAATATATGCCTCTGTTGTGTTAAGTTAGATGGAATATATGGGCCAATGGTGTTCACATAACCCAGTCAGTGTCCAACATTAAACAGCTTAAACAAGGCCTGGGGTTTGGCATACAGAGATCCCATGGCAAATAAACCATTAAAAATCCTTCCAACCTTTTATTAAAGATATAGAAAAGAAGGAAAACAGTGATAGCCTTTGCAATGTTAAGTATTAAGTAAACCTCTAATTTTAACAATGCCCCTTGTTCCTTTGCACTGTTAACTGGAGAGAGTTTTCAGAAGGAAAAACCTCCATGTGTGAGTGCCTGTTAGATGGTGTCAAAGATGGTAATATTGGTCTTTCTGGGGAAAAGAGAAGTTAGTTGAGATGGGCTGGAGATGTTGTGTTGCTGCTGTCTGATCCAGTTTCATCCCAGATGGTGTTTGGGATTCAGCTGGAGCCATAGAGGTGGCAGTGTCATCTGGATCCCCCCTCCAGAGATGTCATCTCTGGCCCGGACATCTCTGAGGATCAGGAGGATGAAGGCTAAATGCCCCAGGAGATGGTGGGGGTGGCAGCCATGATGATGAAGCTTTGCTCCAATAGCCAATTTTTCTCCCTAAAGTCTATTTCTTTAAGGACCTATAAAGAGAATGGTGGGTCATCCCCTCATTACTATGTCCACCAATTAGGCCTACTTTATGACACACCAATGTTGGTTCATTGATTTTTAGTCCCACATTTTATATGTTTACCAAGCATGATCTTAACACCGCCCTTGAAATAAATCAGTAGGTCATTTTGTTTTGACTAATCCAGTCTTTCTGTCACACTTTTGCATCTTGTCCCATCAACATTTATTGTTACAGGTTATGGTGACATCTTATGAACTTATACTCACTTTTTACAGCTGAACTCACAATTAGGGTAAATTTGAAGGCCCAATTGTCACAACACCTCTAAGGCAGTTTTCTCACCAAGAATTTGGAGGATAGAAGTAGTGAAGTTCCTAGATTAAAAATGACTACTTCAAATACAAAATAAAAGTTTTTCCTCTTGTATTTTATATTGCCACATCTACTAGTAATTAAATAAAGTGGGACAAATTGTCAAGACAGTTAGTGCAATCCAAAGTCATAGAATCATAGAATATTAGGGTTGAAAGAGACCTCGAGAGGTCATCTAGTCCAATCCCCTGCTCAAAGCAGGACCAACACCAACTAAATCATCCCAGCCAGGGCTTTGTCAAGCTGGGCCTTAAAAACCTCTAAGAATGGAGATTCCACCACCTCCCTAGGTAACCCATTCCAGTGCTTCACCACCCTCCTAGTGAAATAGTGTTTCCTAATATCCAACCTAGACCTCCCCTACTGCAACTTGAGACCATTGCTTCTTGTTCTGTCATCTGCCACCACTGAGAACAGCCAAACTCCATCCTCTTTGGAACCCTCCTTCAGGTATTTGAAGGCTGCTATCAAATCCCCCCCCACTCTTCTCTTCTGCAGCCTAAATAACCCCAGTTCCCTCAGCTTCGCCTCATAAGTCATGTGCCCCAGCCCCCTAATCATTTTTGTTGCCCTCCGCTGGACTCTCTCCAATTTTTCCACATCCCTTTTGTAGTTGGGGCACCAAAACTGGACACAATACTCCAGGTGTGGCCTCATCAGTGCCGAATAGAGGGGAATAGTCACTTCCCTTGATCTGCTGGCAATGCTCCTACTAATGCAGTCCAATATGCTGTTAGCCTTCTTGGCAACAAGGGCACACTGCTGACTCATATCCAGCTTCTCGTCCACTGTAATCCCCAGGTCCTTTTCTGCAGAACTGCTAAGTCATCTTTTAGGGAAGAACAGCAGCCCTTCAAAGTGGAAGAGTTGCTGGTCTGACACAGCTTGAATTTTAATTTTACATTTAGCTCATCTTATTCTTGTCAATATCTCAGCAGAAGGAGATTTTGAGAGTAGGACTGTATATTTTAGAATACGAAGCCCAGATCCTCAGCAGTAGTTACACACCTAACTTTCACTGAAATCAGATTTAGTCTGGGTTTGTGTCAGTAGTTTATTTGTTTATTTAAAAGTCAGCTCACTGGGATAGGCTGAGGAGCTACATCTCATTTTTGGAGTGTTCTGGGGGATAAAAATCATATAATTTTACTGGTACTTCAGTAGAACACAGAACTTTAAAAATGAATCAGACAGCAATGAGCAAATGTAATTTCAGTAGCTGAGCCTGTTATACATTTCTGTCTCCACACAGCTTCTTGCCAAATTCACTGAGAAGCTTTTTAATATTACGTGTTTCTAGAGCTAGCTGCCTTTGGTAGATGAAGCCATAATTATTGTGTGTAGGTATTAGCCTAAATGACCATGTAGTAGCTCTCCGATTTATTTCCCTCAGAGTTTTTATATCCCTCAGTGACGTTCACATCTTACTCCTAAGCCTCTTTTTGAAAACACATTTAGATTTTTAATGAACGAGGGTCAGCAGTGAGCTGTGATTGCTAGTTCAGATACCGGCTGAAATGAGATGCCTGCTGGGTAGCTGTGTTTTAAAATAAAAGAAACACAATTTTAAAAAATTGAAACAGGAAAAATCTTTATTTCATGATATTATTATTTTATACAGTGGCTTACTTTTCATCAGGTGGTTTGCGGATCAAAGTTTTCTAGTGTGGCTACTGAAGACAATAATTACACCAGTAATGAATTTGGCCCCCTGTCTTGGTACTGGATAGTTGTCTGAAATGGACTTAGCTACAACTTTTTCTAGCAGGTGCTTTGTAGTACGAACAGCACTATTCTGGAAAACTCTGGACCAAATTCAGGGGTGCCGTGGCATGGTGTAAATGGTCTGTTATCAGGTGGATGGAAAGGAGTTTAATTTGGTGTAGTATGCTGTACACAGTAAGGGGGGTGGAAGAGAATGGTGTATAGACAAGAGTTAGACCCTGATCCTGCAATCTCAGGGTGACCTCAGAGGAGCTTCATGTGAGTGAAGGGACCTGCCCTCTCCAATCCAATTGCGAGATCAGAATCTTAAGTTCATGAGGAGAGGCAAAATGGAGGGGGGGCCTCCATCCTATTTTATATGGTATATGACTTATATAGTGATGAGGGATATTTGTACAAACATGGTTGAACCTTATTATGGTATTTGGATGCTATCTGCACCTTTACACTGCTTGTAACATTGTAAAGAATAAAGAGCAGCAAGGATATTCTTTTCAGAAGGGATTGTGCTCCTCTCTGTTTGGAAAGCACCAATTACCTTTTGGGCCCTATCACAGTCCAAATAATATTTTTCTTTAATTTTGATTTAAAAAGACTCCCCACACCATCCCAATCCTCTGGGCACTTTTTCAGATATTTAAAATATATAGGTGCCGATTCCATGGGTGCTCTGGGGCTGGAGCAGTGACCCAAGGAGCAGAGCCTCCCTCTCCCACCCAACCCTCCTGCGCACCATGGATCAGCTGTTCCGCAGCATGGAGGAGGTGCTGGGGGGGGGAGAGGAACGGGGGGAGGAAGAAGTGGGGGAGGGAGCAGAAAGAGATGGGCAAGGGCAGGAGCGGGGGGGCGGGAAGAGGTGGGGGAGGCGTGGCTTGGAGGAAGGGGTGGAGTGGGGGCCAGGCCTGGGTGGAGTGGGGGTTGAGCTCCTCCCGGCAACTCAGTAAGTTGGCACCTATGACAAAATCAATGAACTCTTTCCCACACCATGTTGCTTAACCCAACCCACCACAGAAGCCTAAGATAATAGCTGAGGCTTGCAGGTTCTTTTGGACCAATGAGAGGAATGAGTTCCAGAGTCAAAGAACTTATTGTAAAATGTGCTGCCATTCTCTGTCCTTCTAATCCTGTGAGCTGACTGTAACTGTGGCAGAGGGGATAGAGACTGCCTCTCAGCCATTTTGGTCCTAAACCACTTAGGGCTTTATAAACCAAACCCAACATCTTACACATCACTGGACAATGGCACTGAAGCACTAGTGCAACATTCTCTCAGCGTGAAGCACGGCTCAACGGGTGGGGAGTCGCATTCTGAACTAATTTAAGGTTTTGAATGATAAAGGGAAACCCCATATAGATCACAGTACAATAGTCTAACCTTGAGAAGACACAAGCATGGATAACTGTAGCAAGGGCTCCATCTGTAAGAGGTGCTGGGGGGAGGCAGGGAAGAGGGGGAAGAAGAGGCTCGATTCACACAGAAACTTAGGAGTGGTGACACTTAGGTGCCTAGAAAATCACTGGGATTCACAAAGCCTGAGTTTGGCATCGAGGCTCCCTATACAACGAATGGGGTTCACAACAGCCAGCATGCTAGGTGGCTCCTCACGTAAGCTAGCCACTGGGCAATGCTAAGCCAAGGGGTGCGTGCTAAGCCCTGCCCTCTCTCAGAGATAGGTGCCCAAGTCTAGGGTGTAGGAAGGCAGCTTCCTCTGCTTAGCATTCTCAGCTGCAAACCCTCTCTTGGCATTAGGCAGGGGTGGGAGGAGGAGCAGGAGCTCCCTCATAACTTTCAGCCCAGTGGTGAGGGTATTCACCTGGGATGTGAGACACCACTCCCCCCCCTCAGTTAAAGTCCCCTCTACGTGTGAGGGGAAAAGGCATTTCAACAAAGATCTGTTACCTCACAGGTGAGTGCACTAGCCACTGGGCTATGGGATAGTCTGACGTGAGGCTCCCCAAGTCTCTCCTGTTGATGCTTTGGATAACTAATTTTAAAAAGCAGCAAAGAGTCCTGTGGCACCTTAAAGACTAACAGATGTATTGGAGCATAAGCTTTCATGGGTGAATACATCATGCGTCTGACGAAGTGGGTATTCACCCATGAAAGCTTATGCTCCAATACATCTGTTAGTCTTTAAGGTGCCACAGGACTCTTTGTTGCTTTTTACAAATCCAGACTAACATGGCTACCCCTCTGATACTTAATTTTAAAAAGTCATTACAGGAGGGGGCTGGAACCTGGGCCTCCCAGGTGAGTGTGCTAATCACCAGACTACAGAGTCATTCTCTCACTTGCTCTTTCTGTCCTGATGTTGAAGCCGTTCCACTGTGGATAAATAATGGAAGAATCATGGGGCCAGCAAGTGAGAGAGAGAGAGAGAGAGCAAGTGCGAGAAGGACTCTGTTGCCAATTGGCTATAACACTCACCTGGGAGACCAAGGGATCAGGCCCCCTGCTCCCATTGCTCCTTCATGATTTAGCCAAAGTAGAGCAGCTTCAAAAGGAGAAGGCTGAGGGAGAATCAAATCGGAATATCCCATAGCTCAGTAGTTACAGCACTTCCTGAGAGGAGGCAGAGGAGAGGTCAAATTCCTGTTCCCCTCAGGTGAAGTGGGGACACCCCAGATTAATACTCTAACCACTGGGCTAAAAGTTAAGAGGGAAGGTGTCTTCCTCCACAGGGCCCTGATCTGGTAGGTGAGCTTTGAGCATGCTTACTTGATTGGGCCCTGCAGGCAAAATAAGTGGATGAGCTAATCTGCCCCTTGTTACTGCACTGTCTGGGGCGTAGGCAGGCCCTCTCAGAGGTCCAGAGAGGCCCGGACCACTTCCAGCTTTGAGGCCCCTCGCCATAATAAAAATTAAAAATGATAACACATGAAAACAAAATAAGGCACCAAAAAAGAGTGAGACATAATTTGAATACTTTTTTATTTAACAAATGCTTTTCTGGTCCAATAGGGATGCACATAAAAACAAGTTGTGAAACTTATCAAATGTCAAAAAATTAACAAGTGTCTAAAATTGAGGCCCCCTTTGAGCTTCAGGCCCAGGCCAAATGGCCTTCCTGCCCTCCCCCACACCCCCAACTGGCCTTGGGCTTAGGCATGCAGATGACTGGTGTGGGGCTGCAGTGCTCAGATCCAGAACCATGGTGTTTAAGGAACTTTAATTACAAAAATAGGGGTGCTTGCAGACTTTGGGGGCAGCCAAGTCAGGCCTTTGTGAATTCCAGTGAGGCCTAATTCTGGGACACCTAAGTCCTTTTGTGAATCTAGCCCAGGGGTTGGCAACCTTTCAGAAGTGGTGTGCTGAGTCTTCATTTATTCACTGTAATTTAAGGTTTCGCGTGTCAGTAATACATTTTAACGTTTTTAGAAGGTCTCTTTCTGGAAGTCTATAATATATAACTAAACTACTGTTGTATGTAAAGTAAATAAGGTTTTTAAAATGTTTAAGAAGCCTCATTGAAAATTAAATTAAAATGCAGAGCCCCCCAGACCGGTGGCCAGGATCCGGGCATTGTGAGTGCCACTGAAAATCAGCTCGTGTGCCGCCTTCGGCACGCGTGTGATAGGTTGCCTACTCCTGATCTAGCCCAAAGAGTCTTGCTACTGTTGCTATCTGAGCATGCCGGAACAGCCAAGGATGAAGTACTTCTCTATTAGTAGCTCAGCTTAAGGAAACTCAGAATTGTCATTATGTTGAAAAGGATTGGATGTTGTAAACGTTTCTGTAAACTTTGTTCTAAACCCTTCTTCCTCCCTGCTATATGTCCATTTTGAGAGTTTCTCTTTCTCTGGAGTGTATGGGCTCCCTCTGGTGGCTAACCAAAAACTTACTCTCTGAAGAAATACTTGCATTTGAAAGGCTGAGCTCAGCCTGTTTTAACCCAAAGTCATAAATTCCTAGGCTAAGCTTTGCAAAAGTGAGTGCCTAGATTTAAAGTTTTTAGGCACCTAAATAAGTGGCCTGATTTTCAAATGTGCTGAGCACTCAGAGAGAAAATTAGTGAGGAGGGAAAACAAGAAAAGAGAATGGAAAACTCTGCATTTCAAAAATTGCAGTGTGGAGAAAATAGCTCACATTCAACAACACTGGACAACGCTTTTCTTCCCTGGCAGCTCCTGAATCTTTTGTACCATAGCTGAAGTGTTTCGAACTTGGCATTATTGATTTGACAGACCACTTTCCAGATCTTCTTCTTGCCCACATAGAGAGATCACCTAAGCTCTTTTCCAGTTCATCGGGACCTTCTGTTTCCAGAGAATTTTTTTTAAAGTGCAGAATAATTTGTTTTTGTGTCTTTGCTGCATCAGAGTTCTGGGAGGGTTAGCAATGCTAATTGGAAGACTGTTTCCTGAAGACTAAAACCTAAAGAGTGAGGACTCCTATGGCCAAATTCATAAGCGAGTTTAAGTTGAGAAAGGGAATAAGTTGATGTAATTTATACTCTCATTGGCCCCTAAAACATGTATGTTACACCCACTTAGACTTCATAGAGACTCTCCTAGACTTGGCTTTTAGACTCATATCCACTTACCAAGGTGTAACTGGCACCCTCCACCCTTTACACATCTCCTCGGAATTTGGTCCACTTAGTATGAGTCGCAGAAAGCCTAGGAGTACGTCTACATTTGAGCTAAAAGGTTTGATTCCCAGCTTGTGGAGACGTAGCCATGCCAGCGCTACTTGAGCTAGTGCCTAAAAGTAGCAGCATGGCTGCCGCAAGACAGCTGGCAGCTCAGGGTATCTGCCTGACTATGTACTCAGGGGGCCGGGTGGGATTATACTTGGAGTGGCCAGGCTGAGCAGCCACCTGTGCCACTACGGATACATTTTGAAATGCAGAGCTAGCTCGGCTATGTCGGCGTGAGCTGGGAATCACACCTTCCAGACGCACCCTAAGATTGTCCAGTTTGGTGTAACTCAGACTTCCAGGGTCAGAGGGAGCAGTGTAGCAAGAAACACACCTGTGTATAATAAAACAGCCCCCATTCTACTTCAATTGACATCTTGGTAATACCTTTTACTGGCTCCGTGGCATGTAAACCAGACCAACTTAGCTTCCCTGCCCTTACCAGTGAAAGGCTGATCCAGTGGGCTGGAAAGTCTGGCCCTCATTTCTCTTTAATCTTTGTCTTAGATTAGGGCTCAATTTTAAACTGTTTTATGAGCCCATGTAGGGGAATATACATCCCCTGCTCAATGAATGGGCTACTTGCATTGCAGGTTACATTATATGGAGCTAACAGTCGCCACCAGGTTGCTACTCTACAGCCGGCACAGGTGGGCAGGGAGTCGGCTGTCATGGTGAGGGAGCCAGCAGAACCAAGGCTCTGCTCTCTCAGTACACTGGTCAACACGGCTGCCCCACCACCTTGGGGAAAGTAGGTGTATGAGGAGAAGAAACGGCCAAGCTTCCTTCCCCGGTGGGACTAAATTGTGACACTTGGTGAATCGTAGCTTGGGCCTTGCTGGGCTCCTGAGGCAGCGCAGCAAAGTGAAGGGCAGATGACAAGGGGCCAATCCGGCTCTCTTCAGTGCGACAGCGTCCGCATGCCTAATTTGTGATATTTACTGATATTTCCTACTTCCAAACCGATTGTGTCCTGGGGATTCTTTTAAAAGCACAAAATGTTGGAAGCTGTTGGAACCAGAAAGGTGTTTATGTGTGTGTGTGTAATTGAATTGACAGGTCCTTCATTCTTTTACGGATGCCATCTTTGATGAGTGGATGAAACAATTTAACCCCTCTGACAATGCTTGGCCTCTGGAGCTGGCCCCTATTGGGCACAACAGGATGTTCAACATGGTCCCTTTCTTCCCTCCTGTGACCAACGCTCAACTCTTTCGAGCTGCAGAACAACTTGGCTACAGCTATGCCATTGACCTGCCAGGTAACTAACAGAAGTGCTAAAGGAATTGCAGAGACTGGGCCACTCAACTTTTCACATAAAGATCTTCAGATAACTGAGCATTAAGAGCAACATTTTCATAAGCACCTAGGTCACATTTTTCAAAAAGGGCTTAAGGAACCAAGGGGCCCAAGTCTCACTGAAAGTCAGTGTAGGGAGAAGATGGCAGTAACTGACATCAGGAATACATAGGGTAAAATTGTCAGAAATGCGTAAGTGACTTAGAAGCCTAAGTGCCCATTTTCAAAAGAGACGTAGTCACTTTTGAAAATGAGACTTAGGTACAGCTACACTGCAAAAAAATCAACCCCCCCAAAACAGGAGCAGCAAGTCTCAGAGCATGGGTCAGGCTCACACTGTAGGGGATAAAACTAGCAGTGTAGCTATTCGGGCTTAGACTGGAGTCCAGATTCTGAAACCTAGGGAGTTGGGAGGGTCTTAGAGGCTGGACTCCAGCCTGAGCCCAAATGTCTACACTGCTATTTTTAGCCCCACAGCAGAGCCCCGCAAGGCCGAGTCAGATGACCCGGGTTCTGCGACTTGCTGCTGCAGGTCTTTTTCTGCTGTATAGACATACTCTTTGGCTTCAAAATCACTGAGATGCTTCTGAATATTTTACCCAAAATAATCTTCTGAAAGGGACAGTGAAAAGACCAGGTAAAGATGTTCTGCCGTGTGGGGGTGGGATGGACGGATTGATAAGAACATATTGTGTTCTAGCACTTCACACTAGTGAGTATTGCTGAGATCATTCATTTTTCCTTATTTATCTCAAAGCTACCTAAATAAATAAAATCCTGACCCGAAACTTGCAAATTGTCCATCGTGAGGCTTTTTTAACTATGTGCTCCTGTCCCTCTTTCCATTGTCCTTCCTGTCTCATTCCTTTCATTTGTTACACTCGCTTCTTGTATCTAGTCTTACATTAGATTATAAACGCTTGCAGCCAGGATTGTGTTTTATTGTATGTTTGTACATTGCCTACACAATGGAGCCCTGACCCTCACTGCAGCCTTTGGGTGCTATGGCAATACAAGTAATAATAGTCCTACTGTTGTTAAAGTCTAATATTTGCTCCTCCTCCTTTGTGATTTTACAAGCAAAATTATTCCCATTCTATAACTCAGACATTGTTTCTGTATTTACAGATTCACTTGAAGAAACACATGCTTGGGCTATTACGGTTGGATCCACTATTGGAGGAGCACTGATAGCTTCAGTTGTACTAATTATGCTGCTTGCACTCTTTCAGCACAGAAGAAACAGAAAAGGTTTTGAACCACTGATGAATGCAAGATTCAGCAAAAAAAATTATACAGAAGAGGCCTAGTGCTGTAGCATTGCGTCATCAGATTTACCTGTAGGAAACTAACCTGATTAGTTGTTCAACTCTTAGCCAAGTGCTGAACTAACAACTTGACCCACGTTCCTTTGCTAGACAGCTAGCTACATTGTTCTCATCTCAGTGGACCTGTACTTTTCCTGTCATTTGGGATCATCAGTCTCATGTCTTCAAACATTTTGAAACAACATACGAGATACATGTACAGCCTAAGACAGGATAGAGTTTTCCTGTTGCCAAAGATTGTTTGTAGTTTGTGATGCCCAGGTTTGGATCACATCATCGGAGAATCCTGATGCCAGAAAAAAAGAAAAACAAAGACAAATGCAAATATTTTTCCTAAATATTTTTCTAAACTAACAGTACTGTGATAGGCAGAATTTCATTGACTACATATCTTTGGATAGTAGATTTATATACAGGAATAAAACAATATTGCAAGTAAGTGATGTTGCTTTAAAAAAAGGACTCAAATATTCCACGTACGATTCTGCAAATGCTCTTCTGGGGGTGTGGCTAGATGGTATATTGTAAGGAATATGTGGGGACAGTTTAAGCCACAGAATGAGCTCTTAATTTAAATTGCATAAGAACTAAAATAAATACCAGGAAACTCCCTAATTCAAATTCCCCATGTCCAAGTAAGTAATGAGCAGGAATTCATTTCTAACTAAACAGACACACCAGGGGCCTGTGGCAGAGCCTGAATCCTGCACCTGCCTTTCTGCACATGGAAACTTCTCAGACTATGCTGAGAGGAAAGAGATGTGTGTGTGTGTGTGTGTGTGTGTCAGACACAGCTGAAGTGGTTGGGGATTTTCAGGAAATTGTCACGAGATGGCAGTGTTATGAGTACCAGAGAAGCAGGAGTGAATGTGTGTGTATGGAGGGCAGAAATTAGATCATAGATATGTAGGACCCCATGTGGTCCTTCCCAAATGGCCTCACAGAACTGTTAAAGCCAATCCCAGCAGACAGAGGTGACATATGGGGGAGGGAATGCAGGATCCCAGCCCCACCCCAGATTTGCTGCTTAGCTTTTACTGAGCATGCTCACTAGGGTTGCCAACTTTCTACTCGCACAAAACTGAACACCCTTGCTCCACCTTGCCCCACCCTTTCCCCGAGGTCCCGCCTCTGCTCCACTCCACATCCCCCCATCGCTCACTCTCCCTCATCCTCACTCACTTGCTCATTTTTACAGGCTGGAGCAGGGAATTGGGGTGCAGGAGGGGGTGAGGGCTCCGGCTGGGGGTGCGGGCTCTGGGATGGGGCCAGAAATGAGTGGTTCAGGATGTGGGAGGGGGTTCTGAGCTGGGACAGGGGGTTGGTGCATAGGAGAGGGTTCGGGGTGCGAGCTCAGGGTGGCGCTTACTTCAGGTGGCTCCCCAGAAGCGGCGACATGTCCCTCGGCTCCGAGGCAGAGGTACAGCCAGGCAGCGCAGTGCAGTGCACACTGCTTCTGCACACAGGCACCACCCCTGCAGCTCCCATTGGCTGTGGTTCCTGGCCAATGGACACTGCGGAGCCGGTGCTCGGGGCGGGGGCAGTGCACAGAGTCACCCCTGCTGTGCCTCTGCCTAGGAACCAAGGGACATGTCATCACGTCCTAGGAGCTGAGCGGAGCCATGTAGGGAGCCTGCCTTAGCCCTGCTGCATTGCCAAATGGACTTTTAATGGCCTGGTCAGCAGTGCTGACCGGAGCCGCCAGGGTCCCTTTTCGACCGGATGTTCCAGTCAAAAACCGGACATCTGGCAACCCTAATGCTCACATGGACGGAACATGCTCAGGTTTCAGAGTAGCAGCCATGTTAGTCTGTATCCGCAAAAAGAACAGGAGTACTTGTGGCACCTTAGAGACTAACAAATTTATTCTGTTCTTTTTGAACATGCTCAGTTACACTGCTGAAGCTGGCTGCCCTCACTCTGCCCCCCTACTCCCCACTGGCAGGCATAGGTCCTCTCTACGGGCAGCAGTAGAGAGCAAAAACATTTTCAGTCTTTTGTTCTAGCTACCTCTTACTCCAGCTGCTGCCCTTCCCTACCCGTGTAATATTGGCACATGTCACTGGCACTTTATATATTCATTCACATTATGGAATAGCATGTTATTTTACAGCCTCAACAGCTAAATCCTCACACCAGAAAGAATTTAGCTCTAGTAAGTTCTCTCATAGGCTTCCGGTATTTCAAATTTCCCTCTAAATTTTGTAGTCTCTTTTCATTTCAGCCTATACAGATTCTCCTACATTAGTGACTTGAAAAAATGTTACTCTTGAGTATTGAACAAATTAGTCCTAAAACATTTTTCAAAGTGTAGGATGCAGAAATTAAGCCCCTCACCTGGAATGACTGAAATGCTCTTTAGTTTTCCAAGCCTCTGGGTATGGGAGGAGGATTAAAACAGGATTTGGTATTCCCCACTCGTCCCTCTTGCTTTCTTCACTAGCCTGTAAGTAGCTTGGCTTAATATTGCATTTGTATCAGGGTTTTGCCATATGTTCTTGAGATCACCTCTGTTCCCATAATTTATTAAGTCCTGGATGGATCTTGTAGGCTTCAGTGGATAGTACGTTATATTGTTGGAACTACTCACTGCTATGCTTTACCTATGGTATCTTTTATGGTACAATTTACTGTGTTGATTTCTAGAAAAATTAATCTCTGTTTTAACTAGCTGAATAAACGTTTGGCATGTTAAAGGACTTAGTATTTTGACAGTGGTAGTATAAATCTAACTGTAAAGCACACTAATCATGGAAGATATGTGCAAATCTTGTTATATACTTAGCTTTCTTTGCATACATATGGCCTTATTGTAATTTCTGCTAAGTGCAAAATTTGTTCCTAAAATACTGACTTTGAGGATGTGGGGATGTTGTATATGCTACATTAAATATATGTCATTACATGCAATGAGTCATATTTTAAAGTATATCAGCTTTGATTACATAAGTAAAATATCCTAACTCAACATACATCATTCAGTCACATGATGCATTGTAAATGTGGGGGGTTTTTTGGCTCTCCAATAGCTCTTGTGCTCTGACTTACTAGTACATTTTTCTTAATCAGTATATATAGCATTCCAACTTTCATTGAAAGTTCTAATGTGCTGGAGTGTCTGTAGTAAAAAATACAAAGTTGTTGGTAGATTGTTTATTACCTATCTCTGCATCATTTAATGTGAAGTACAACTATCCTCACAAACAGGGCAAAGAGAAACCAATGTTGCAATGAGAGTTGAGCCAAACTAAATTTGTGAACCATTCAGTTGTACTTTCATAGGTTAGACTTAGATTCCATTTCTCTGTAAGGACCTCTTGCTGATTTGTTTTAAATTCCTGGTGTGCTGAATGGAGTTTAAGTGTTGATGCTACAGCGTATGCAATCATCAGCACCAGCACAGGTCAGTGATTAACATATTATAGCTGCTGTGGACTCAAAAAAAGTAGTGAACATGAAACTCCAGCAACCAATTGACCTACCTTCACTGGAAACTAAATACCCAGGAGTGGAGAACATTAAGGGCAACATTTCGTCCACTCCTGTGAAAGGATTTCTTTGGATGGAGCACTTTTTTCTCTTTCTTCCTTGCTGTCCAACCACTGGGGCTGAATTCTGGCTGGCGCTGTGCATAAACCTACAGCAAAAAAAACTACCATGAGGAATTCAGGTTGGAGTCTGGCACCTCTGAAACATGATGAAGAGACTATCTGCCCTGTGACAGGAACTGTGGATGGTCATTCTGGGGCATGGCCTAAGTGCCAATGGGATGGTCCATGTGCTTTATGTAGATACACACCCCGATCTGGCAATGATCTATATACACAGCCTCTCAGCCAAATTATTCCTATTCTTAATGGGATTTAAGCCCAAATTGGGGAGGTTGATGCCATCACTCATTCTTTGCTTTTCTACTGTATGGGGAGCAACTTTAATTGCTGCTAAGTATTTCACAGATGCCCTGACTTCATAGGAGACTGCTAGAGGGAATGCACTCAATCAGTGCGCTCTCTGGCTACTTTAAATTCTCAGCTAAGGTCACCAGTTCTTGAGCTGTGAGCTTGCTATCCACATTCACTTTATAGCATCACCCTTGTTTCCCACCAGCAGCCTTTTTACTCCCACAGGCCTCTGTAAGTTCTAGACTGGCAGAATGCTGAGAATGCTGTCCCACGATGGAATGTGCTACCTCCTGCCACCTGTGCGAGATGGATTCTAAGGTGCATGAGCAGCAATCTCACAGTGATGGTGAGATGGGGAGCTACTTTCAAATTAAAATGCCATTTTCTCTCCTGGACGCAGGCCACTCAGCTTACAAGATAGTGCCTTCCCACTCTGCTAACCTGGTGGGCTTTCTAATAGCACAAGCTGAAAAAAAAAATGCCACAAGCATTCACTCCCATTCTGCTTTTCTTCCTAGCAGCCTGCGGCTGGACTGAAGGCAGTGATAGGATGCAGTCAGGAAAAGGGCTAAAAATGTGACACACTAGAAAAGTTTTTTAGAAGAGGCCTTCACTAAGGGCAAAGGAGTAAATCCGGCAAATGTCTGTGCTCATTCAGTCCTTGTCTGTCTGCTGAGAGAACCCACTGTGATGGTGTTTTCTGTGATCTGGACTCTAGTCTCTCAGGAGTGCAATTAATGCATAAGACTTAAGTTCTGCCCATTAAGTAATAAAAAAAAAAACCCTATGCCAAGCAATCCAGTTTCAATCCCTCTTTGCCTATGTCCTTGGCATCATAGCTGCAGCTTTAAAGATGTCCTTATTGTTGCAGTTACTCATACTAATAGTGAAAGCATGGCATAATCTGCTGTACATAAAAGCACTACATGCCCTCTTGTGGCTTACTTGAAAACCACCTGGAGACATTGTAAAGTTCTCTGCCTCATTTTTCTTTAAAGTAGTTTTCCAGTATAGCAGCTGAGGAAGGATTGTAAGGCAGTGGCTCTCAACCTTTTCAGACTACAGTACCCCTTTCAGGCATCTGATTTGTCTTGCATATCCCCAAATTACACCTCACTTAAAATCAGACATAAAAATACAAAATCAGACATAAAAATACAAGTGTCACAACACACTATTACTGAAAAATTGCTTACTTTCTCATTTTTACCATATAATTATCAAATTAATCAATTGGAATATAAATATTGTGTTTACATTTCAGTGTATAGTCTATAGAGCTGTATAAACAAGTCATTGCC